AACTAAGGAGTGTCAGGACAGTTACATGAAAATAGACTTGTGTCAATCAAGTTCAGCCTTCCTCACATTTGTTTTTTGCTGTTGATCCAAAAGAAGGCAAAAGGCACTTCCAATTTTGCAACAATCTAGGAAAAAAATTCCTTCTTGACCCCAGAATGGCAGTCAGATATATCCTTGCATCGAGCAGTTGTTACCCTACATTGAAAAATGATATCCTTGAATATTCTGTTTTTGCAAGTATACATCTAGTTGCTGTTTGAACATCTGTATGGACTCTGATGAAACCTCTTCTTCAGGCAGAGAATTCCACATCCTTATTGTTCTTACAGCAAAAAAAACTTTCCTTTGCCTTAGACAAAATCTTCTTTTATTCCAGTCTAAACGTGACCTATGTAAAGTCTGGTTTGTGAATAGATTTCCACACAATGGTTTGTCTTGGCCCTGAATATATTTGAATAATGTTATCATATCCCATCTCAGGCGACGTTTTTCAAAACTAAAGAGGTTTAAATTTGTTAAAGGGACACTATAGTCACCAGAACAACTAAAGAGGTTTAAATTTGTTAAAGGGACACTATAGTCACCAGAACAACTAAAGCTTATTGCATTTGTTCTGGTGAGTAGAATCATTACCTTCAGGCTTTTTTGCTGTAAACACTGTCTTTTCAGAGAAAATGCAGTGTTTACATTACAGCCTAGTGATAACTTCACTGGTCACTCCTCAGATATCTGTTAGAGATCCTTCCTGGATTATGGCTGCCTAAAATGCATCCAAACATTCAGTATCTCCTCCCTCTGCATGCAGATACTGAACTTTCCTAATAGAGATACATTGATTCAATTCATCTCTATGAGGAGATGCTGATTGGCCAGGGCTGTGTTTGAATCATGCTGGCTCTGCCCATGAGCTGCCTCTTTGTCAGTTTCAGACAATCCTATGGGGAAGCCCTTTGATGATCAGCCCACCACTTCTGATGATGTCAGCAGACTGCTTGTTTCTTTTTAGGCAAACAGCATGCAGAGTTACAGCTTCTGGCTTGAATACAGTAAGATTTTGCTATATTTATGGAGGCATGATCGGCCCAGGGGGGCTAGATGGTGGTGTTAACAAAATAGGATCAGGAATACATGTTTGTGTTCCTGACCCTATAGTGATCCATTAACCTTTCTTGATAGCTGATATGTTCCATTCTTTTTATTAATTTTGTAGCCCACCTCTAATAATTAATAAAATTTAAATAAATAAAAAATGTGTGTCTATATGAGTCTGAATGTGCTTGTATTAATCTGGGTGTACAAGAATATGTGTATTTATGTATCTATGTATGTTTGTGTAAACGTCTGTGTGTCTTTATAAGAACGTGTGTATTTATGTATATCTGTGAAATGAATGTGTATATGAATGTAAGTATGTGTTAATATGAATGTGTATGTACATGAATGCATTTGTGTATATGAATGTCATTATGTGCATGTAATTTTTGTTTATAGTTCAGGGGGAGGGAGGGCTGAAAAATAAATTTTAGGTACACCTCTGAGGTGGGAACAGATGAGGTGCTTTGTTTTTCCCAGAGATCTCTAGAAATTTGTCTCAGGACCTAAACCGGTGATATCTGAACTTTGGTGAGTTTCTCCTGGAACATTATACCATCTGTATATTCGCAATAACTCACCTATGTCATCATACTGATATGAATAGTGTGTTGTAAATGAGGCTTAGGGATCATTACAAGCCAAAGCCGTTATTCAGTGCAACTGAGTACAACTTAGTCAACATTCTCTTGCCTTGTTTACTTGTCTGAGATTTAGAGCTAGAGATGAGTTCAGATTTGTATATAATGTAGATTAAAAAAAAATCTTACAAAAACATTTTTTGTGCATGATGCCATTATTTTGTGTAAATGTAAAACAAATGAAGCACATGGAGAAAGCACAGCTTATGGAATAGGGCCCTGATAGGGCTAGGAGGCGGGCTAGGGGGTGGGAGCAGTAGGGGATTGGTGGATCAGTGTTTGGGGGTTGGCTGATATAAATGGTCAGCCATTTTGTGATCCCTTACTCTAATTTCTTACCTATCAGAGTAAAAAAGTGCACTGATTGGGCCTGGTAAGCTTTTCTTTGTATTTCAGGATGGCTGAACGGTCGGTGGAGGAACTGCTTTCCGGCATTCAACAGGCTGCTAGGAACAGGGAGACAGCATGGCTGCAGGAGCGACAGGCAGCAGTGATGGCGGCGGCGGAGCAAGATGGCCACGGAGGAGGGCGCCCAGCGCGGCTGCGGAGGGCTCCAAAGCACCTTAGCCAAGGGATAGAAGCAGGGGAGACCCCCACGGGACCTGCGGGCCTGGCAGGAGCCGGCCGCGAGGTATCCCACCCGCGCACGAGGTGGGCATTGTTGGCTCCACCCCCTGCACTCCCCATCACTCCAAGGCACCTGGTCCGGAGGGTGCTGCTCTTGGAGAGCCCCCACCCCACCACAAGCTCGTCATGGGCCCAGCTGTAATCATAGCCTAAGGGGGAGAGCCAGTGGGGCTTCCAAGTCCCTGGGTGCCTGCTACTGCAGGCGGGATGCCAGGGCTCCGGTGCGGCGATCCCTGGATGGTGCAGGGAGGGTGAGTATGGAACAGTGCAATCTGCCCAGGATTTCTCCTTCTTGTTCCAGGTCCTCAAGTAAGTCCACCCATGAAGACATCCAGCACCAGAGAGTTCCCCCGGTTGGAGTGAAGAGTCTGGTTGTCTCCCCGTCTGATCCCATGGGTCCTCAAGGAGCAGCCCCCAGACCTTCACTGGTGGAGGGCGTGGTCAGTGAGTCTACCAATGCATATTCACTGGGCTTACTATCCTCTTTACAACACATTATTGACTCTTGAGGCCTAAAGGGTACTCCTTAGTCAAATGCGGGACTGGTCTGGGCAGCGGAGGGGTCGTCGAGAGGGGGTGCTGGGTCTGGGGCTCTGGGTACAACAGCGACGGTTACGAAGGGTGCTGGGGTGAAGGCTCTGGTATCAGCGGGTTCGGTGGCCAATGGGGAAGGGGCAGTGGAGCCAGTTGACATGATGAGTGACCGGGCAGAGCTGGCGGGCGGCATCCCTGATGCGGCCAGGCAGAATGCCTACGTCTCGTTTGCAGGCCCCCTGGGCGTACATCTGAAATAAGATGTTAAGGAGCGCATATGGAAGTTTGCGGAGGTTTTCGCATTGTTACCTCTAGAGGAGTATATTGACCTCAAGGAGGAGATCAAAAAAGAAGAAGGAAGAGGAGGAGAAGAAAAAACGGTATCCCAAGATACCAAAGTCCTTCGGGAACTAGCTGCGTGCCTTTTGTATCCTCGCCAGCGTTATTGGTGAAAGGTCCTCGGGAATTTGCTTGTCTTTGTTTTGCTACCTGGATGGGGTCTGGGAGGCGTATAGGACGTACGGAGCATGGCCTGGTGGAAGTATGATGAGCAATTCCACCAGCGACTCTTGGCCAATCCTGGTATGCGGTGGGACCAAATGGACCTGCCATTATGGATGAAGCTCATGATGGCTCAAAAAGTGTCGCCCTTTTAGCAGGCGGCGGACGGGGGGGTCTAGTCCCATGCGTTGGCTTCCCACAGGAAGGTTTCTGCTGGCTCTTCAATGAAGGCCAGTGCAAATGGGGAGCGAGTTGCAAATACAAGCACGAATGCTCCGGCTGTGGGGGTGGGCACAGACTCCACTGGTGTTTTAAGAAAGGAAGAGGGGGGTCGTGCAGCGGCATGGTCCTGCTAGGGGCAGGGCCCTCTTCCTCTGGGGCATTACCTTAGGGAAGACGCAGAGTTGTTGACAGGGGTTTCCGGGAAGGTTACGCTCTCCCTTTCCAGGACTGGGAGGCTAGGCCGACTTATTGTAATTTGAAGTGGGTGGGGGATTTCCCGGACGTGGTTCACGCCAAACTGTTCAAGGAGGTTCAGCTGGGTCCAATGTCCAACCTGCGGCTGTCGCCCTTGGGGGTGGTCCCCAAGAAAGAGGAGGTGAAGTACCGCCTTATTTGTAACGGAACCGCTGGCACCCCGACCGGGTACCTTCCGCCGACGGATGCTCCTAGTGCTTTCCGAGGACTCCAAGCACTCTCCCTGACACCATAACCACTGCAGACCCCACGAACCGCCGCAGCTTGGTTGGGATCTCGCCGTCTCCACTCACTCTGGACCCAGGACCAGGGTCCAGCTTCCAGCAGGTCGACCTCTCTCCCAATTCCAGAGAGCAGGAACAGGAACAAGCTCTTAGCAGAGCTTAGTGAATATACCCTGGAGAGTATAGTGATTATAGCAATCCCCAGAGTGTAGTTTCTCCAATCCCCCAAACATGAGCCGAAACTTCATGAAGGTACAAGATGATCTGACTCCAATGAGCGTTTATTACTCCTTATATACAAGTTTTCAGGTCAGAGGCACACCCCCTGGACCTGGTGGTAAACTGTGACAAAAGGGACACAAACCAATGGGAACACTAATTAACGTGATAACACTCTCACATAAACAATGAAATCCCTCCTCTCCATCCTGGAGATAATTGGCTTAAGGCACTGCAGTAAACTCAATTATCTCCAGGTACAGAAAATATCTACATTTTAAACTAACAGCAAAAATACGTAAAAGTACATAAAAATACATAATTCTTATTATATTACACAGAACCCCCACATTTAACCTATCCCCAGATAGCTCGGATCTGAGCGCCCAATCTAGGTGAACAATAGACAGGAAACGGGGAGGGGAAGAAACACACCTTCCCATGGATTCCAATGGGAAGAAACTGTCTTTAGAAGCCAATAAGCCCCAAATAGTCTTTTTTAAATGGCAATACACCCCAGGGCCATAGTCATGAGGAAGGAGGCTGGCAATCAGGCTCCTCCAAAAGCCGGGGGCAAAGGGCAGCTTGTCACCTAACAATCCAGGGACAAAAGGCATTTCGTCACATTATTCATCTCCTATCTTACCCTAAAGGGGCATCTGTCAAGGATGACATTGCCAGGGAGCTGTGCTCGGTCTCTCATGCATCATTCGACCAAGTGGTCGAGTTGGTAAAGGGGGCTGGGCAGGGGGCAGTGATGACCAAGGTGGATATCGAGGCTGCGTTCCGGTTGTTGCCCGTGCACCCAGCGAGCAATCACCTGCTGGGTTGCTTTTTCGAAGGGCGGTTCTTTGTTGACCTTTGCCTTCCCATGGGTTGTTCCAATTCTTGCTCGTACTTTAAGTTCAGCTCATTCCTGGAATGGATAGTGAAGCGGGAATCTGGGAGCTTGCATTGCCAGGGCTACGGCAGAGGTGCGGATGCCGCACCACTTCATGCGGGTGTCCTCACCCATGAGGGCTGACTTGGGGATTTGGGACACGTTCCTGGAGCATTTCAATGGCACGGTGTTCTTTAGGCGGGAGGTGGTGTCAGCAGCCAAACTGGAGCTGTATACGGATGCCTTGGGTAGTGTGGGATTCGGGGAGTACTTTGGGGGACGGTAATGCGCGGCGCCCTTGCCAACTGTTTGGCTGGGGAGCCTGCTGCTGCTGAACCTGGTTTTCCTTGAACTGTTCCCATTGGTGGTCGCCTTGTCACTTTCGGGTACACTCCTGAGCGATAGAAAGGTGGTCTTCTACATGGACAATATGGCGGTGGTGCATGCGGTTTTAGTACACTCTCCCGTTTCCAGTTCCTCACTGTCTTTTGGATGGGGCTTAGCATTTTAGGCCTCCGGCCAATCCAGTTCGGGACACGCTCATTCAGGATAGGGGCCATAACGGAGGCTACATGGTTGGGCCTGGGGGATGAGCTTGTTAAAAAGATCGGTAGGTGGGAATCGATACGGTTCCGGTCTTACGTTCACCTTGATAAACTGGTGTGAGGGCTGTCTTGGGGGTCAGCTTGGGGGACGGTGCCTAAGCTGACATGTTTCTCTTGTTCCCGTAGGTCAAGTGGCTTGGATCGTGGGGCGTCCTTCATATTCTGGGCCAAAAGGAGAGCTGCATCTTGTTTTTGGGGTCAGTAGCTTGGCTTCCCTGAGGACCAGATGAAGTTGCTCTGGTTTGGCTATCAGAACTACGGGTGGCAGAAGGTTTGCAGTGAGGTGTTCAGGATGATGGCGGGGAGTAGAAGACCGGACCTGCTGGTCTTACACGCATGTGGTAATGACCTCGGGCTTATCCCACAGCGTCTCTTGGTTAAGCGAATGAAACAGGATATTAACCGTATTAGGGTGAGGGTCCCTGGGGTGCAGCTGGTCTGATCTGAAATGGTTCCCCGGCTCCGTTGGTGGCACACTCGGGACCCGGCAGCTGTTGGTCGATGCCGGACGAAGGTGAACGGGTTGATGGCTAGCTTTGTCAGGAATTTGGGGGGAGTGGTGGTCCAGCACAGGGTGCTGGAAGGTGTGTTAGCAGGCTATTTCTCTCCTGATGGGATCCATCTCTCAGATGTGGGGTGGGACCTGTTTAATTTAGGGTTGCAGGACGGCTTGGCCAGGGCGTTATTTCTGCGGGGTGGTGGAGCTCAGACGGATTAAGGTTTCAAAGTCTGAGCTTGTGGCTGGGTGGGGTAAGGAACATTAAGGATAATGGACCCTAGTTAATATAGGAGTATGGGGAGTTAGTTGATTGGTTAAAAGGGTACACTGTTCTTACATGTTTCGGTAGGTTTCAAGTCCGTTGGTGGCTCAGAATCTCGGTGGTGTAGGGGTATCTGGGTATTCCCCTACCTGGTGAAAATGTGGAATGGTGGGAGAAATGCAGAGTGGGTGGGAAGGGAGAGCTAGCTTTCCCCTGCAGGCACTCTGACTGCAAGAGAAAGATTATCATGGCTGTCGTCATAGGTGTGTGCATGGGGTCTGCCGGGTGTGCCTGGGCACACCCTAATCCCCACGGCACGCCTATGGATTGAGACCAGCAGGGGAGATCTCCCCTGTCGGCTCATGCAGAGCCCGCGCTATCCAAGCCTCCATGGGCCTGCTCTAAGCCTCCATGGGCCGGTGGGGAGATCAATGATCTACCTCACCGGCCAACAGCAGCATGGAGGGAGGCGGGAGAGGAGGCGGGAGAGGACCCGGGGAGCTCTAGCCAGCACCTCCGCCGGGTTCCTCTCACGAGATCTGAGCGTCAACGCAACGGCAATGCTCAGATCTCGCGAGAGTGACTCTAGCCCCGCAGAGTTCACTCTCCTCTGGACCACCAGGGATGGCACATGGCAGCAAGGATCCCCCTCCCTACATGAGGTAAGAAGGGAGGGAGGATATTTACTAATCTGCCCCCACCTCCACCCCCACAATACCTCCAAACATACAGTACACACACAGCACACACACATATACAGCACCCTCACACACACAGCACACTCACACATACAGCACCCTCATACACAGCACCCTCACACACACAGTACAATACCAGCACCCTCACAAACACACACACACAGCACCCTTACAAACACACAGCAACCTCACACACAGCACAATAACAGCACCCTCACAAATACACACAGCACCGTCACACACAGCACACAAACAGCACCCTCACACCCAAACAGCACCCTCACAAACACTAGACACCCACATACAGCACCCTCACACACACAGCACCCTCACACAAACAGTACACTAACAGCACCCTCACACGGCACCCTTACAAACACACAGCACCCTCACAAACACACACACACAGCACACAAACAGCACACTCACAAACATCACACTCACACACAAACAGCACCCTCACACATAGCACACTAACAGCACCCTCACAAACACACAACACCCACACACAGCACCCTCACACACACATCACACAAACAGCACCCTCACACAGCACACTAACAGGACCCTAACACACACACACACAAACACACACAAACACCCTCTCACATACACATCACACTACCAGCACCCTCACAAACACACACACACACAAACACCCTCACCCACATAGCACACTACCAGCACCCTCACACACACATCACACTAACAGCACCCTCACACACACACAAAAACAGCACCTTTACACACACAGTACCCTAATAGCACACACATATATATATATATATATATATATATATATATATATATATATATAATATATACACACATACATACATACATACATACATACATATACACGCAGCTTGTGTTTGTGCTTTAGGGTGCACACCCTAATGCAATAGGCTGCACACACCTATGGCTGTCGGTGATGCATTTTATGCACAGAATTGACATGGCCAGCCCAGAACAGAGTTATAAGCTGCCAATATCACGTGTGCTGTGGTTGCAATTAGTTCACCCCATTCAGCAACTCTTTAACTGGCTACATCTCTATCATGAAAAAAACAAAAAACAAATGTGAATCATCATTCACTGGAATAAAAGCTTTCTGTATTTGTTGTATGAAACCCTTAACCTTATATTGCAGGATACTACAGCATGATCGCTATACTCAAAGGGAGGACTGGGATTGGCAGAGGGTTCTCAGCCATAATCTAATCTCAGATTTAATCAATGACAAGCAGCCCATCCTGGGTTTTTCTTTTAGCTAATGAGAGACATTAGAAAGTGTAAAATGTGTTTTATTTACTTGTTTGTGTTGTGTTAATGCATCTGTAACACATTTAAAAGATGAGGAAGATGTGTAAACTCTTTAATATCATTCACAATCACTTTACATTGTGTCTACAAGGATACAAAGAACAACATGAATACATTTATCAATAGAATCTCTGAATGACATCTGACATGTATGTGCAGACTAAAGGACTCTTTCATGATATTGATAAAAATCTGCACTTTTCCCAGCACCAGATACATGACTGCAGGGAACATTTCTTTACATTTGAGTTGCTGATTAGGTTATCCATGTGTTAAATAAACACAGATATAGTGGGCATTACATATGGTTCCATACCACTATAGATCTCTGAGGAGTTTTACTCTAGTGCTAAATCAAACGATTTTGTAACAGGTTCACTTTTCCTACCTCACAAAATATACCCAAATGTCCATAACACATTTTTATAAGAATCACTACCTGTTTTTACGACCATAATTTAGTTGTCAAACAATTTGAAATCACCCTTAACTTGTGTTAATGGTTTACTTTAATGCGATTTAGCTACTTACTGACAATACAATCCAGCTTGCTACTGACACAACCACAGTGATGCTCTCTCTGCTGACTGACAGGTGCCGAGGGCTCCAGGTTACAGCATAGAACTACCATAACTGCTACGTATGAATTTCTACATTTAATTTTATTTTTTCGGACTTTACAAAAACATATCTGATAAATATAGAGGATATAAATAAATGTTCTGATCTTGTGATGTGACAGTTTCCTTTTTATACTCCTGACATCAAGAATATTCATATCAGCAACAATATATCACCTGTAATCTTGAGATGGGAGCTGGAAGGCCCAGGTCAGGTACTTTGCTCTATAAAAATATTCTGTGTAAGAAGCAGATATCTTGTTCTTTTCACAGTTCCAGTCTGTTCAGTAATCTGTGCTGTTTTTTTTTCTTTCTTTTCCGCAAGCATTAGTGTTCTTTCTGAACTGCCCTTAACTGTCAATCATCCATGTAGCATTGATGACATTTACTTTGACCATTGGGTGATATCATTGATTAATCATAGTCGATGAAGCTGCCTTTACCACATAATACCCCTAGAGGACTCATGTGTCAGCTATAGAATGGCACTAAACAAATCACTTCCTTGTCTAGCTGCTGAAGATTCCCAGAAAGCTACACAGAAAGGAATAAAGCACCACTTATATATAGATGAACGGATGACAGATTTGAAATGTATAAGTTATGATTAACATCTGAGAAGTTTTAAAGACCACCAATTGAGAAATGGTATTGTAGGGTATATTGTATTCCATAATTCATATTTGAAAAGGATAATCCTGAACGCGGGTCAAGGAACTTGCCATTTAATTGTGATCTAGAATTAAGCCATCACACAAATAGCATAGCAATCATTTTGTTATTGAGACACCAGATTATCCATTTCACTTAGCTGATGGAATATAAGTGCTCAGCAATATGTTTAATGTCCGCCTTACAGAAATGGCTTTAAATACTTGTATTTGTTATGCTAAATATGTATAATTCATTATGTAACCTTATTGTGCTTCTTCTTGTCTGAAAGATTCTTTTTTACATTATTCTGCGTTATGAATTGCTATTAAAATCTGCTTTGCTTTTAACTTTTAAATGCTTTGTGTGATTGTGACATAGTTGTGCTTTCTGCAAACAAATGAATTAATACTTGTAGCGTCGCTTTTTAGTTTATATTACGGGAGAGGCAATTGATGATTTAGACCAGGGGTTCCCAATTAATTTTTCACATAGTGTATCAACATCGTGGAACCCCCCTTCACCCCTAGAATAAATATAAAAAATTGCGCTATTTTTTGTATGTGCCAGTGTGTATCTGTGTGTGTGTGTGTATATATCTGACACACAGATACACACACACACTGGCACATAGGGGCACACAGATACACACACTGACACACAGTGTGTATCTGTGTGTGTATGTATGTATCTGTGTGTCAAGGTGTGTTTATCTGTGTTTGTATGTATGTGCCAGTGTGTATGAATCTGACACACACTGGCAGATAGTGGCACAAAGAAATACACACACACTGACACAGATACACACACCTTGACACACAGTGTGTATCTGTGTATGTGTATGTATCTGTGTGTCAAGGTGTGTGTATCTATGTTTCAAAGTGTGTGTATCTGTGTTTGTATGCGCCAATGTGTGTATCTCTGTGTCAGTGTGTATCTGTGTGTGTATATGTATCTGACACACAGATACACACACACACACACACACAGGCACATAGTGGCACACAGATACATACACACACACACTCAGATACACACTGACACACACACATATTGACTCACAAATTCACACACACTCGGATACACACAGTGGCATATACACACACTTGCACCCACAGATACACACTAGCACATACTCACACACTCAGGTACACACACACACTGACATACACACACACACACAGGCACATACAAGCACACTGGCACATGCACACACTTAGATACACACAATGACACACACAAACCTTCACACATAGATACACACACTGACACACTCAGACACACATACACACATACACTCTCACTGACAAACACACACACATACACCCTCATTGACAAGAACAGATACACTCTCACACACTCACTAACAAACATACATATACTCTTTGACAGACACACAAACACATACAAACTCCCTAACAGAAACACATTTTTTTATTTTTTTTACCATTTTACTCCATCCAGCCCCCCTACCTTTAGGAGTGCTGGCATGGAGTCCCTGGGGTCCAGTGGGGCTGCTGAGTGGCTGACGAGCAGTCCCTGGGGTCCAGTGGAGCTGCTGAGCAGCTGGCAAGCGGGCGGCAAGGGAGCAATAGTTAGAATATTATGCCCCTGACATTTGCCCCCACAAAAATTTGAAGTTCAAACGAGTCATCTTTATCTATACGAATCTTCACTCTGATCATCTGATTGTGATTGTATTGTTTGTAATGTGGTCCTGTGTCATTGGTAGCAGCATTATTCTTTATGTTTTAGTTTTAATGCATTATTAACCCCTTAGGACCTGTGACATTGTATGCTGATATAACAATCTGTTTTTAAAAGATGCTGTCCTACTAATTTACTGACAGCAGGGCTGTATACCGTAGAGGTGCCATTGCTGATCCAGAAAGGCCCTGGGGAGATAGCACAGCTAAGTGAACAAGGGCACATGTAGGAGTGTGGAGATAGATACAGGGGAGGGACTTGGGAAGTGTGCATGGGAGGGGTTAGGCTTAATGTAAGTTAGTGTGGGGGAGGTCTTACCTCAGTGCCACTTGGGATACGGGCCAGCAAACAGCTTCCTGCCCGCCCACCCCTTTTAGTTTCAGTTAGTCACAGCTAGGCGGGGGTATGTCCTTGCCAATCAAGTTTGAGGGGTTATGTCTAAGGATGGACTAAGTTTTTATGTTTTGCAGGTCTCAACCTCCCCTGCTTAAAAGGTTAAACATTAGGTTGCCTGAGGTATCGTGCCCATCGAGCGTGGATAAGGTCGGCTGATGGCGGGCATTGGAAGGATTTTTTATGACGAGGGGGGAGGTGAGAGGAAGTGGTGATTAGGAACCACTGGATGTTTATTGGCAAGGACGGTTGGGTCTCTGCATAGCACGTTTTGTTATTATATGTATATATGTTAATTTATGATTATTTCTAACAGAAAGAAGAGTTTAATAAATAAAGTTATGGATGTGTTATGCAGTAATTTATTTATGTTATAATAAATGCTGTGGCCTGTTCATCCATACTAAGTTGTCTGTCGTTATTGAGTTTTTTTTTATTGGAGTTATCTATGTTATGTGGTATCGTAATTCCCCACTACGTACATACAAGGCATTCCTTGCTGGCATAATGTCTATTTGATTTAGATTACAAGGTGGAATGTCATTGTTCCTTAAGGGGCTGATAATGCCGTATGTGTCAGTCTTATCCTAAATAAAGCTCAGATAGAAGGACATCCAGCATGCCTTTTCAGTAGGCAGGTTTACTGTGACACAAGCAGCAACAATGCTGTCATAGATCTTATTCAGGCCATGGCTTGATGAAATACAAACAAGTGCAAGAAATATGAACCATGCAACTTCCAAAAGCATTCATTGAGAAATTCATTGAGCCCTATCAGGTGGTGGTTATATTAGGCAACACATGGGTTAATATTGGGTATTATATAATTTTAAGCCATTAAGGACTACATTCCACTTAAGGATCACAATGTGTTTCTTATAGAACTTATACTGGCATGGACTGTCCTACTTATTTTGCATCTGTTGCTCTGTATAGCCCTAGCTGGGACATTCCATTTTGAAATAGGATCTTAAAGGCTGATTTATTATGAAGTTTTATTATTACATCACTGATGCCTAAAAGGATAAGATTTGAATAGCTGCTGTTCACATGTACACAGTGGAGCTAAATTGTCCTCTGCATGGTCCTATAAATACAGAAATCAATTTGGCAAATTTGTTAAAAATGCCAGGCAGATCTGAGAATGTTTTGACCGGTCCCCAGACAGAACAGGGTCCTGGATTATTTTTGCAGGGCCATATCAGCAAACCTGGTATTGTTGGCACCTATGCCCACCCCACACCTTTGGTATTTATAATGCAAGGTGCAATCTCAAACAGAATTGCAGGGTCAGATGATTCACTGCGGAAGTCATATTTGAGTGTTTTCTTTTGTCTGCTCGCAGAACAGTCAACAATTGTGCAAATAGTTAAAACAATCTTGGTGGTGTGAAGATTGCATTTCCTCTAATGCTCTTACAGCCATAATACTGGTAGAACATCATCTGAATAGGAAAAATCCCTTCCATCCTTATGGCAATGAGATTTCTCGGTGGATCAACAACCTGTTCATATACATATATTCTGTTTTTCCAAAATTTCACCAAGTTCTCTTTTAAAAATAGCTACAGATTTTGAGGACAATCTCTCTGGGTAGAAAATTCTACATCTTTTTGGATTACTGTAAAAAACTTTTTCCTCTGCTGTAAGTGAAAATGCCTCATTGAATGAACTCTTGTCGGTTGTATATTCCTGCTAATGAACAGGTTAGCATATAGCGGTTTGTACTGAACCTGCAATAATTTGTATAGATTTATTATATTTATTCTGAGACATTTTTTCGAAAGAAAACAAATGCAGTTTTTCTAGCCTTTCTTCATAACGAATGTTTTTCATCCACCCAATATCTTTCCCTGAAAACTCGTTGTAACGGAGCTCCTTGTACTCTGACTGAGTACCCTCCGTTGACAGATGCTCCTAGTGCTTCCTGAGGACTCCAAGCAGTGCAGCAGACACCACAACCACCGCAGACTCCACAACTGCTGTATCTTGACTGGAGTCTCGCCGTCTTCCTTCCACCCTGGATCAGCTTCTGTCCTCCAGGACTGTGCGGGAAAGAACTCTTCCTTCCACCCTGTATGAACCTCCAGCATCCAGGACTGTGTGGTGAAGAGCCCTCCTCCAAGGAGAGTGTGTCAGGAACAAGCTCTTAAAAGAGCTAAGTGATTCAAGCTCAGGGGAGCATGCAGAACATAGCAATCCCCAGTGTGATTATAACAGCTCCCTCCAATAACGAGACAAGGCTACGTTTAGAGGGATCAAGAAGAACTGTCTAAACCTTTATTTCCCTGGGGACCAGCCCATAGGGTCACCACAATAACATTGTTGTGAAACCTCAATAAAATCAAAAACAGTCAAACCACAGCAGGCAAGATAGGTGTCTTACAATTGATTTATAAAGAGGTAAAACTGTACTTTGATAACGTGAATCAGTACCCCTATTTATACACGACAGCACAGAGTGGCATTGCACGCGTTTGCCTAATTTGTTATATTTCATTGGTCTCAAGTGTTTTTTTTTTTATTTGACGTTATCTCTAAGGTTACACCATTTAATGTATAAGTTGCTTTCAGGTTCCTTATTTCAAAAGGCATGACATTTATCTGTATTGAATCTCATCTGCATCTCACCTGCCTAGTCCCCTAAAGGATCCAAATCCCTCTACAGAGAAGTTGTATCATTTAATACTGTATTTTCTTACCTAGTTTTGTGTCATCTGCAAACATGACACATGACTTTCAAAGCCCTCTTCAAGATCATTTGAAAAACAAATTAAAGAGAAGTGGACCCACGACATAACTCTTAGGCACTCCATTAACCACTTTTGACCAATT